ACACGCACACACACACGCACACGCACACACGCACGCACACACGCACGCACGCACGCACACACACGCACACACGCACACGCACACACACGCACACAAACCAATGGGCCAAACACCAAACGTCCTTCTGAGAACAAAGAGAGAAGGACAAAGCTGGCAGCAGAACGCTGTCTTCCTTATTCCCAGCAGTTCAGTGAGGACAGGCAGCAGCTCGTACACAATACCTGCCGGCTGAGGAGGAAGATGACATCATATCTGCACAATGAAATGACTCATTGTTCCCCATTTAGCATCAACTTCAAACACACACACACACACAGCAACAAACAGGAGCCACTTTCTTCCGTCAGCAGAAAGTGGAGATGATTTCAGTGAGCAGGTCACATTCAGGGTCCTCATATAACGCCTCAGCTTCTTATGTGACTGGATCTATTGATACATGAGATAAATAAACGCAGTCAGTAAATCAGGTCAGTCTGAGCCCCACAGTGACATAATCTGGATTCACTTTGATCCTGAACATTGATACACTGAAGATGAGCGCAGCCTCTTTGTCTGAGAAAAAACACACACAGCTCAGTGTTCACAGTGTTCAAGACAAACTCTGGATGTTTAGCACCACCTGCTGGCTGAGTGTGGTAAAGACAGGTGGTGTTTACACTGTGATGTTTCTCCTGTTGTAGGTTGGTATAGAGCATGCATGATCAAATGAGTCAGACAAAACGAGTCCGTAAGGAGTGTTAAATACTCCCAAAAGGGTCATTCTGGTATTTTTTTTTAAACTCCGTCATATATTTAGATATTTGGAGGTCAAGAAAATCTGTCAATGCTAATCATCTTCCTCTCATAAAACCCTTTTTACAAATGCTTTAGATACCTGCTCATGTTATCCCCTGCTTTGTCTTATTTTCATGAGGTCAGGTCTTGGTGGCAGCAAGCGCAGTCAGTCAACCCCAGACTTCCCTCTCCCCAGCAACCTTTTAGCTCCTTCCGGGGGGATTTGGAGGCGTTCCCAGGCCAGACGGGATATATAATCCATCCAGCAAACTCTGGGTCAACTCCAAGCTCGCCCCGAAAAAGTCTGAGCTGCTCACCGTAGTATAAATAAAGTTTGTTGTGGCGCATATAAATGATAAACACATACATAAAAAAGTTGCCTCAACAGATTTCTTCAGTTTCAAGTTCATCCACTCGAAGTTGTTTATTTGTCTAACTCAGATTGTCGCTCTAGGTGTCTGACATCATGTCAGGGGGAAGAAGGACACGATTGTGGACCTGGAACGTCTTAAAAGTTACCCTGGAAGGATAACCATTAAATTTATGAGCAATTAAATATAAATAAATGAATTTATAAAGCACTTCTCAAGGGACAGAATGATTAGAATACAGGACAAATTAAAAAGCAAAGACTGAGACAACTAACAAAGGATGGGACTCTGATGGGGAGGCAGTTACGAGGAGTTGTAGGCTGTGGTGTGGTGTCAGATGGTGTTTGAATGATCTATTTAATGTGACATTTCTGATGTCTGAAGGAAGGGTGTTCCAGAGGTTGGGGTGCTGTGACACTGAAGGCCCTGTCTCTATAAGTATGGAGTCTGGTGTGGGGGAAGGAAAACAGGCCGGTGTGTGAGGGATTTGTATGTGTATCGAGGTTATAAAAGAGAGCGATGGCGGGAGTCTGGGTTATTTTTTAAATAATAGAAGGCAGATTTGGTGATGGATTTGATGTGGGAGTGGAATGAGAGGGTGCCACCACCTCTCAGAGCATTGAAAAGGTAAGACAACTACACATGTATTTTTTTTGATGGTGATTATACAGAATCTCCCACTAAAGAACACGAGAAAACAGAGAGAGAACCTCTCACTAGCTCTGATGGTGAGACAGTGAGTGAGCACTGACTGCTGCAACCCAAAGGTGTATATAAACTAACCACACCTGGTCCCAATCACGACCAATCAGACAGACAGACAGACAGACAGACAGACAGACTGACAGACACACGCGCACGCACACGCACACGCACGACACTGGGACGATTGCCTTCCCACACTGTGATCGCCAACATTACAGAAAGGTTCCCTACAGTTATCAACTTTTTGGTTAAACTCTGACGCACTGCACTGCAAAAAGTGTCTGTTGCGTCTATTTTCAAATTAAAATATCTTATTACAAATACCGGTAATATTAAACACATTCTCCAGACAAGTCCAGATGAACTTTTATTACTAACTTATTTAGAAAGTACAACTTCTTTCAGGACACTCAACAAGTTAACTTGGGTTGCTGCACTCACAGATATTTCTAGTTACTTCAAACAATTCAGGCCACATTTTTCTGGTGTTTTACATCTTAAAATAAAATGTTTATCTGGACTTGTCAGGTGAATGTGTCTGAAAGGAGTAATCAGTAAGATATCTATTTGATTAAATGATGAACTGACCTTACTACACCATCAGACATTAAGGAAACATGCTGTGTTGAAGTGCTGGCTTCTCTGACAACAATGCAGCAGCCAGTATGTCCTCCTTCTAACTTTAGATTCTGCTCCTGAATGCTCTGGATTTGTTTGGGTAGACAGTTTTAAGACCCCCCCACACGGCCATTTTGGACGCCCCTCAGTTTGTCAGATATGAGAGCAGTTATCAGGTCAACAGGTGTTGCAGTGATGGAAGCGGTCAAGAGAAGTGGTTCAGATAGAAGTGATTGTACCCGACCTAAAAAGCCTCTGCATGTTTCTAATAAGCTCCACGAGCAGAAACGTGCTCAAACTAGGATCAATATTGGAGATGCTTTTGAAAAATGGAGAGAGGTTAGAACACAGAAAGGTTTACAGACCCATGCAGAGCTGGATAAACACTGAAGCTTCAGTGTCCACCACATGGCAACCTGCCTGAGCATTGACTCTAGAGAGGAGGGGGCAGACAGCTCTCTCCGATATTTCAAATTTGGACTGCAGTACACATTTTAAACGCTTGGTCTCAGAGTTACATATCGCTGTAGGCCTGATGTCATGAAGGGAAAATCTCCAAACGGCCTGTTTGAGCACACATTTTCTGAAAAGTGGAGCAGGTAAAAGACAGAGAGGATGGACTTTTCTCATAACTGGGGGGTTTGTAGACAGACTAGAGACACACATTAGTGTTAGAAAAACATGGTGAAGTGGATTTTGAATATGTGACCTTTGAGACATTAAACCTGCTAAAATGTTCTCTGTCATGTTCTCTGTAGACTAACTCAGGTTCAAAGGTAACTTTGAAATAGATTTTAACGTAGAAATAAGATACATTTTAAAGTTTAAAGATGCAGAAACATGTTTGTATTTGTTTCTCATTGTGTCTGAACCACTGCAGCGATGCTTCTTTCTATCAAACATTATTACAACGATTACAGACTCAACAGAACCAGAGCAGAAAGGTGCGATCATATCTCTCCTGTTTAAGCCTCTCGACATCGGCTCTGTTGGTTTAAAGACTGATTATAAAAATCCTCATTGATTACCTTTAAATCTCTGCATGACCTGAGTCCAGATTATATTTGAAGACCTTTTAATCCCGTATGAACCTTTGCCTAGTTTGAGATCCGGGAGCTGTGTGCCCTTTTCCTTTCAGAGCAATAAAGAGGCCAAAGAAGAAACAAGTCCTCAGTTTCCGAACACTTCTCCCTGCCGCTATTAGTTGCTAGGTTACGAAAGTTAACTTCCACTTCCCTCGCCAATGATCGTTATAGTTTAGATAGCTCTTTGTGCTTAATATTTACTTTTATTCAAAGAAATATCGAGAAAAGAAAGGAAATGCAAATCTGTATTCATCCACTACTAAAAATAGTCCCAGACAAAAGACTGATTTACTCCAGTTTGAAGGATTGGTTTAGCCATTTTAGAAAATTAAGAATGAAATGAAGCATTTGTCATGAGACTCATGCTTTGAGATTTGTCGACCATAAGAGGAACATTCAAATCTCGAGTCTCCTTCATTTAGTCATTTATCTCAATACAAGAAGCGTCCTATATCGTCATATGTTCAGTGTTACATATCAATATGTAATAAATTATTACCTAAATTAAACTATTTATTGCCATGATGACGTATATCTGATAACAGAAGTCCGGCTCCTTCTTGATTCTGATTGGTCGGTGGGGGAGACGTGACATTGACGAATGTGTCAATTTTCCAGAAGTTGGGCTCAAGCTGTTTCAGTGATAGCTTTATTCTGAAATTGTACATCTGGCGAGCGCTACAGAAGCCCTATTACTCCTTTTTTCACAGGATGACAAGTACATTTTTGTTGCTTTCTCAAAATCTCGACTTATTTATCTCATTATCTCAGGATGCTGAGTTAATTTCTGAAGATCTAGAGATGACGACTGAAACTCACCCATAATTCACGGGAAAACCAGTGAATATCCTAAGAATATTGTGTGTTGTTATCCCAAGAAAACAAGATAAATAAATCAGGACACAGGGAAAACAGAGTGAAAAAGATCACATTTTTCTATATTAAAAAACTCGGGGCGCCGGTACCCTAGCCGTTAAAGTGCCGGCCCTATGAACAGAGTCTTTGAGAGTGGGCGTCCCAAGTTTTGAATCAGACCTGTGGCTCATTTCCTGCTTGCCGTTCCCCTCTCTCTCTCCCCAGTTTCTGACTCTGTACACTGTTCTGTCTCTAAAAAAGGCACGCCAAAAACCCCAAAATAAATCTAAGAGAAGAACTGGTACAATTGACCCTTTGTCAAGCCCAGCACTCCTTAGTAACCGTTACTAGGACAGACAAAATCTCTTGTTGCCAGGCTCCTTCCCATCTGATACAATTTAATATGCCCCACGATTTGAAGGACTTTGATTTCTATTAAACTGGATTATTTAATAAACTCTGCCTCTGTGAAAGAATAAAGACAAAGATACAGTAAGGTGTAAGAGGATAACTATCTCTAAAAATGTTTCAAATCAGGCTCAATTATACCTTAAATACATCCAATAGAAAAATTCACCAATAAAAAAAAGCATCTTTTCACCATTCAGTTTATTTCATAATGCCTTGCTCACTGTCATATACTGTAGGCCTACCTGGGTTCCCTTTCACTGAGGAAACACTCATAAACAGCATTTGTGTGTCTGTGTGTTTGTGTTGACTCTTTGTCAACACAAACTCATGAGGAGAACCGCTGAGTCACTCCTGTACAGTAACAGATTTAAAAGCCAGACTCGTTAAGTCTTTGAACTTTTAAAAACACAATTACTAAAATTAAAGAAATTAAATCTGAAACATGAACCAGACGAAACTAAAGTGATTGTGCAAAAATACTCGAGGGATATGAGAGCGAGAGAGAGAAAAATAAACATGACATCCAATCCTTCTTTCAGAGTACATTTTGGATGTAGAGCTGGTGGGAAAACATTTACATTTTCAGCATACATCCTTCCCGCTCCCCTCAAGAGAAGTTCATTCAACATTAAAAATATCTTCTTTTTGTCTTTTTAGCTTTTATCCCCACTAAATGTCACAGAAAACACGCACTTAAAATGCAGGCAACTCCTAAGGCAACATGTGAACTAAAAACAAACTATAGATACCCAACATGGAGCTGCAGGCTCCTCCATGATGTCCGTGAGGGCGGACCCACACCAGAGAAGAGAAGTCCTAATGCAGAAATGACACCAGAGCTATCATACAAAGAGAACTACAGAATAGAAAAGACAAAAAAAAATCATCGACACGCTAAAACAATACTGGAGTCAAAATAAAAGGGAATCCACAGCCCTCTGCAAACGCTCTGGAACACAGTTTCTCTTTTGAAGAGCAACAGGAGCAGAATACTCATCTTTGGGGTCTTTTGACTCATCTTCAGGGTCTAAATGACTAAAAGGGACATAAAAGTTTGGAACTGCTCCAGCCAGCAGTCCTACAACAGGCTGTGATGGCTGCGACATGATCCTCTCCACTTAAGCTGGGACTTTTTCCAGAACCTCACAAATAAATGTGATTCTTAGGGTCATGATTCAATTCAATATCAAGTCCATGCTGATCAATATGCTCCGATATCGATTCAACAAAACACAGAGAGGGGCGTATCCAGAGGAGTGGCATGAGACAACCTTGAAATCTGATTTGCCACCCCAAAAATCCTTAACTGTGATTGGCTATTTGTTTGGGGCAACACGTTGCCAGTTCATGTATTTTTTAAAGTTAGACAGTGTGCAGGAGCTTTCCATGCATTTTTAAACTACTTTAAATAGTGGATTTGAACACTTGTCTTGTTTTGTGTCATTAATAAATTATTATCTTTTGTATGAATATGATTGTTGAGATTAGAAAGGGTAAATCATTGATATTAATCTGTGTGTTGGCAACCCCTGCAGAAGTCAGTGCCTCAGTTTGGCCACCCCAACGAGAATTTCTGTTTTCTGTTTTAAGAAATCTCTTTCCTCTGTAAGAAAAAAGGTCTGTCTCTGTGGGGATCCTTTCACAATCTGAGCCTGTCAGGGACCAGAACAAGAACTTATAGTGGACTTAACCTGAGGCATTTCACCACAAAGGTTAGGTCGCAGTCATTACAGACCGTCACGGCAACAGACTGGAGAAATTCAATAATGTTTTTGAGAGTAAAAGTCATTTAGACCCTGTGATAAGTCAAGAAAGGGCCCAGGGTTTAAAATCTCAGGAGTTCCACTCTAACGCTGCATCCTGGTTTACTCAAACCCCGAGTTGTTCTCTTTTCTCCGATGTCCGACACAAAGTACATCCCTGCCTGAACTGAGTTTATCGAACACCTGAAAGAAACGCGTCTCATGCTCACAATTAAAAAAAAAAACAACAAAGTTGGAGATAAATATGTCAATTCAAGGGGGTGTGTCTTTGTTTTGCATATCGGGTACTCCTCACACACGCTTTAGAAAACGTTTCCGACATCCTCACTGCTCTCAGAAGTCTGCACAAAATTCACACTGTTCGCTGAGACGCCTTTTTTCACATTCTGGAGGACGGTGTGTGTGTGTGTGTGTGTGTGTGTGCGTGTGTGTGTGAGAGCCGAGGAGAAGACACACACTGAGCTAACTGAAGAAATCACACACTCATTGCTCGAGGGTCCGTCCTGGGGCACAGCAGCAGGGTCCGGGGTAATGAGGAGGGGGGGTGCACTGATTGTTTGGTCTGCGGTCAATGTGACAATGTGCAAATGTTCAGAGGACATCGTCTTCCTGCAGGACAGACGTGAGGGTCTACGGTGGGACATGCAGGACACAGTAGAGTGCAGGTCTCTTTACAAAGCTGGGTCAAAGAGTGTGTGTGTGTGTGTGTGTGTGTGTGTGTGTGTGTGTGTGTGTGTGTGTGTGTGTGTGTGTGTGTGTGTGTGTGTGTGTGTGTGTGTGTGTGGAGGGGGGGGGGGTAGTGTTATAGAGCCGGGGTGGGGGGGAGGACAGAGGGGGGTGATGGTAAGAGTTCTAATGTCTCCGTCTCATCAGGACGTCCCCTGTCTCTTCTGTTGCTGCACCCGGATCAGCTCCAGCTGTTTTTTGCACTTCTGGTAGTACGTGGACAGACTCTTGTTCTCCTCCAGCAGCTTCTTGTGCTCCTGAACCAGACGGGACGTGTTCTGCTGGTCCTTCTCGTCCTGGTCCAGCTCAGCAATCAGCTCCTTCCTGCACAGCAGAGGCAGGAGGAAACTTTAATCCTCAGATTTTACAGATTTTCAGCATATATAACCAATAAGCACACAAGCAACACTTTTGGATAAAGAACTTCTCCAGAAAAACGACTCTAAAGACATTCACACAACTGATATGTTGTTTGCTCTGGATCATCATGGACCAATTTGTTTTATTGTTGCATAATTACCTTAAGTTTGGTCTGTGTTAACATGAGGATATTTACCCAAAATCTGAATTTCCTGGGAGATAAAATCCCAGAAGGAAACAAAAACAAGTCGACTCATGCCGGGCTGTCGCAGCTCCAAAGACATTTTAACAATTTCTAAATGGACGAACAACTGTACGAATGATGATCGCTCTGGTCTTTAGTTTTTATATCTGTGGCTTTAAGCTGAAGACCCGTCTAGTAAGCCTGTGGTCTAACATGTTTGTACATAGTATTCCTGTGGTTTGTTAAAGCGATGGTATTTATCACAGTTGTGTCAGTTATGTATCTGAAGGTATATCAACATTTAATGTTCTCTGTATGTCTGAGGATATTTCTATGTATAATATCATTTTGTTAGGGCTGTCAGCATTCACTAAATAATTGAAATTAAATTAAGGTCTGAAGTTAATGAATTCATTTTTTTAAATTTCTTTTATTAATTAATAGTATGCTTTTTTTGTCCCTCTAGGCTCACCATAGATACGCTTCCTAAATGAAAAATGTCCCTGTGTAGTCACAGTCACTGGAAAGAGTTCCTTTATCCGTGTTTAAGTTAATGTCATCACCTTCCATCTACCAGAAGGTCCTTACTTTATTTCAAAATAAAAGCAGGGTTGAATTCAAACTGTAAGTAAAGCTCTCTCAGCTTAAGACAGTTCAATCCCTAAAAACTAAAAGCCTACATTTTTTATTTTCAAATAAACCAGATGTCTTCTTCAGGTGATAAAGACCTCTGGTCGAAATAAAAACCCTTTTTTTGTGGCATTTGAGCAATTGTGCGGGCCTACCTTCTTCCTGAGTTTGCTGTTTTTGCACTGCCCTACATCTACGTGATCTGCGTATAACTATCTCCTTTTTCAAATGCGAGATATTGAAATTTCAAACGCGATTAAACACAATTAATCACGATTAATTCTGATCGTTTGACTACTAATTTTTACATGATATTATTTGTATATTTTTTATGTTTTGGTTCCTAATTAATTAATTAATTAAAATAATGGATTTCAGTAGTGTTGGGTCACGTGTTTGTATATTTAAGATGGTGACTCACAGAAAACGTTGCAGGTCTGAGGTAGAGCACGTTGGCTCTGAAATGTCATATGTTGCTAAATAAATCCTTCAACAGGGTCTTCTTGGTGTTGCTGACCCTTTAGCATTTGTATGCCTGTTAGTTTTGGATCCAGCGCCCACTGAGGTATGAGCTTGTCTTTTTGGATTGTTTATTATGTCTGTGGTCTTTGAAACACGTTCAACAATGATGAACAGAGAGGTGGCTGCTTCCTGCAGTTAGGTCATATCGAGGTCGGTTCATGTTCTTACTATAAAACCGGAAAAAAAAAGCAGATAAAGATTCACCTCCTCAAGCTGTCTCGGATTGTTGTTTGGTTCACACCAGGGTTTGATTGACAGCTTTCACACCGCACTAACTTGGCAATGGACTCAAGTTTGTTTGCCAAATCAGGGATGTTTTAACTAACAACCCCAAAGCAACAGATGCTGATTCTTCGATGAACTATAAAAATGAGATGAGCAGAAGTCCCCTCAGTGTTCATTCTACTCGTGTCTAAACATGCATTCGATTTTTAAACAAAGAAAGCTTCTTGAACCCCCTTAAACGGGCACCAACAGATGAAATCTTTGCTCTGGGCAGCTGGACTTACTTCCTCTGGATGAGCAGGGCGATCTCGGTTTGCACCTTCAGGTATTCTTGGGCCATCTTACAGTGCTGCTCGAACACCGCCATGGACTCTTTGGAGTTTGGACAGGGAGCGAGAGGCTGGAAATAAGGAAGAGTTCAGGATCAGGAGAGCACACACAAACATCCTGATGTAGCTAAATGTTTTCAGGCTAACGGTTCAAACAAACACTATCGCAAGTGTATGTCCTGTTGTGTGATTGGCTGACGTACCTGCAGCTGGTGGTCCAGGGTCAGATAAGCCATGGGAATTGAGTTGTCTGAGCCGTTGGTGTCTGACAGAAGAGCACAAAGAAAGAACAAGAAGGACTTTATTTAACATGTGTGATTATAAACCAGCAGGTCTGCTTCAGCTGACAACAGACCAACAACAAAACCCTGATTGCTGATTGACACAGTCCCAGTGTAGTCTGACATCATTAAGAAATAGTGACCACAATGATGCTGATTCTGTTAAAGACATAATGTAACCCTGTTTAACCTTAGGGGGGGGTATTACAGCTATAATACTGTTTGGACTGTTTGAAATCAAATCTGTTTTAATTGTAGTGTTCATTGTTCTTGCATCAGAAATTGAAAGCTGAACGTTTTAGAATCATTACATTCAAATAAAAAAATATAATTTTTGAATTGACATAATGAAGACGTAATGTTACATTTGGCGTGACAGATAGCCTAGTGCTTATGTTGCGCCCCCCTATGTACAAAAGCTATAGTGCTGATCGCAGAAGCCGTAGGTTGGAGTCCGACGTCGGCCCTTTGCTGTGTGTCAACATTATAAGGTAACTTATATTATGGTACCATACAAACTGTAGTCACTCACTGCTAACGCAAGCTAACTGTAAGCTTGAGACAGCCCACTCATGCTACTCAGAGAACCCAGGTTACTAAAGTGACCTAAAGTTATCGTGCCAGCTCTGGCTCTCTCCGTCACTCTGCTCCACACTCCTCCTGCAGCACACACACCTCTCCTCTCTCCTGTTTGTATTTTCACAGATCAGACGCACAGTGGGGGAAATATACACCTTGAATGTCCGACAGAACAACACTGACATGTTAGTCCCGTCTTGTCTTGTTGATGAAAACTTAATAAAGATGTAGTCAGAATTTTTAACAGCAACAATCTATTTTTGGCTCGTTGAGGTCTCGTCCTCGTCATATAAAAACAAATGCTGATGATCATTTATCCTTTTTGTTGCAGAAACTAACTATTTTATCAATGTTTATGGTTTTTGACTTGAAGAACATTTTAGCTAACATTGTTCAGATTCTAGGGATATGAAGTATTTTTAAAAAACGACTTAACAATCTGCAGATTTACTAAAGTGGGTCCTGGCAGACTATTTCTACTGCCCAGGTGAAGAGCTGACACTCCTTTGAAGGTGCTTGCAGAGTTTTTGTCTCTGTGGTTGTGTTCCAGCTGACGTTGGTACCTGTGGGGTCATCGGGGGAGAAGTAACTCCTGCTGCCCGTCTTGTCGCTGGGCATCATCCTCATGCTGGGACTGGAGGACCGGCTGCTGTTTCTGCTCCCCTGAAAGAAAACAGCAAAACACGGTGAATAAACAGGCGAGCCAGATGAGATTATAAAAGCTGGAGAGGCAAAATTTTAAATAATCATGACTAAATCAAAATAAGGCAGCTATAGAGATCTCCTCATGTTGGAACTATATATATTTAACACATAACATCTATTTTTTTTACTGCTGATATTTCTGATTTTCTAAGCTTAAAAAGAAGATTATGACAAAAATTAAAATCGTTTCTATGCGATATAAAATTGTACACATTTTTGAAACTTTTTCAATACCACTTGTTTTAGAACGATATAATCTCTGTTACTTTCAGGTATGTGTGCATTCAGTCGATTACACGGTTAAACGTCACCACTGCTATTTGGCACCAGAATCACAAGTCGATTAAACAAATTCTCAATTTTTGGGCCTTCGCTGCTGGTCAAATGTCAAAATAGTAAATCTGCACTGCAGCCTCCAGCCTCTAGATGGAGCTGTAGCCACAGACTGGCTGTAGCCTTTTGGTTAATGGGTTTTGTCAGTATTTTGACCTATATGGAGATAAAGTTGTAATAAACTTGCGACGCTGTGTCAGGTGAAACTATCAAATGGACCGGAGCGATGTGTAACAACATTTATCACGGGCATGTGGATGTTAACCTGCAGGGAGAGCTGAAGGCTGGCAGTGCTAACGCTGCTAACGTTAGCAACACTCAGCAAACCAAATTACATCGTTTACCCCCCCCCCCCATCCTGAAGAAATGCATCCTAAGTCTCTTGTTCTGCATGCAGGAATTTACCCACACATACAACTGAATCTGGAGTTAATACTTGATGTTGGTAACATTCCCACTGTGGGAATCAAACCCTCCATGATCAATGAGTGTCTGTGTCACAGCTCTGTGGACCTGGAGGACAGGCGGATCTCACAGATCTATGTGTCTTCTTTAAAAGCTGTATTTGTGTTCAGTCTTTATGCTGAACTTTAAATGAACTGCAGGGTTATGAGTGTTTGTGGAGAGCAGCAGAAACGTGGAGAGCTCAGAACACGGTTTGAAGCTCTGTCAGTTTGAGGAGAGAGAGAGAGAGAGTGTGAATCTGGTCCAACACTCATATCTTCTCAGAGCTGACATATCAAACACACGTCTCAGTCTGTGACATCTTCTCTCTGTGGATTTTCTCGCTCCTGACGAAGAATGCATCAAATGTGTCTGAAAACAGACGGCGTCAGTCAAACATTGGTTAGGCTTCAAAGACGCGAGTAAAAACATGTTTTACAATCAGAGAGCAGGAGAAAAAAAAAAAAAGCTGGCCGGGGTCGCGTGGAGTTCAAGTTTTCATTTGAAATGATCTAAAGAGTTTGTTTTGTTTATGAATGATAATGGATGCATCATTAACCTCACATTAAAGAAGAAAACACACAGAAGCTTTGAATCCTAGGGGTTCATCTAGTCTCTTTAAGCAGACAGTAATAATGTCCGGTTCTTAAATGGATTCTTTTCATTTGTGACAGGAGATAAATCTGTAGAGATTTATAAGACATAGAAATAAATCAACTTCAGAGGGACTGAACTTATGTCATTAATGTAACTAAAAATGACAACCCTCTTTAGCACAGATGTGTCTTCTTCAAATGGAGCACAGAACGTGACAATCTGTAGTCTGAAAAAAAGGACCAAAATAACAAATGTGCAGCTGGTGTGTATGTGTCTATCAGTGTGCGTGTGTCGATAGGTGTATGTGTTTGTGTGTTTCTTACATGGCTGGACTCTGTGCCGATGCCGGGCAGATCCTGCACAGACCGGCGTCTCTGAGGATCACACGCTGCTGTGGACATAAAAAAGAATAAGAACAACGAGATCTACGGACATTGAACGTGGGGGAGCGGTGGTTATATGGACTGGCCTCTACATTTCAAAAATGAGGACGTCTTTAATCAACTTCATGAAAATGTACTTTGCAGTTTGAAGAAAACAAAAAAACACAAACTACTTTCTGATTTGATGAAATCAGTGGAGTCAGGTGTAATAGGAGTGCTCGTGGGAGTTTGTATTCCTAATTGAGAAAGGATCACAATGTTTCACTTGTCTAAAACTAAAACAGCAGCCTGGGATCATCTGATCTACGCTGACTACTCACTACGTCCACGGCAAGGGATGGGGATCAAAACTAGCTTTCATAGCGATCCAGCTCCACATTTTCCAGAGCATTAACAAATAATAACGTTTGAGCTCAAAGTACAGATGCTGTTAAGAGTCACGCTGAATCCTGCAATGTAACGTTTTATCTCAACGTCCAAACTTTCTGAGGTAGAAACAGTAATCCAACGTTGAAATCCGTATTTAAATAAAAGCTAGCTAGCTTTCAAACGAGGTCAGTGAAATGACTTTTAAACACGGTAAATAAAACGTCATCATGTTGTGTTTAAAGGTAGCTACAAGAAACTGAAAATTAAGGTTTTGTTGAGAAACTTGTTTAATAAAAGTTGTTTGGAGGAGAAATGTCCAAATTCTGTCTCAAATATTGTCTCTGCAGGCGCAGGATGGCCTAGCGGTTGTATGGTTCGTCTCATGTACATGGCTATCGTCCACCTAGAGTGCGGCCAGGGTTCGACTCCGACCTGCAACTCTTATCCTGCACGTCTTCCTCACTCTCTTATCGCCTGCTTCAAGCTATATCCACTGTCCTAATAGTGAAGGCTTGAATCTTTAAATCTGAATAAATATAAAAGAAAAGTATCGATAAGGACTCAAATCGTCAGGGAGTCTTGTTGATGCTTTCATTACCAATAAAAATGAACAATCCCCATCCCTATCTATTGCACCATGAGAACACAACATAACACACACCTAACAGACAAGCACAACAAAGAGAGCACACAGAGTCTGTAGGATCTTGTTGTTGTTGTTCAGAGTGGAGATCTCTGCTGCAGCCTGAAACCTCTTTGTGGTGATTTTTGTCTGATTTCAAACTTTGACACACTGTGTCATGCTGTTTATGTACTCTGCTGTACAAACGTCTAATGTGTAACACTACATTTATTATCAGGAGGTTTTGTTCAGTATGTGTCTTTACTAAGCCCCATTTCTACCAAGCGGTCCGGTTCAGTTCTGTTTGGTACGGTACAGTACACATTTATGGGCGTTTCCAGTCTCAAAAGTTGGGAAGGGTACCAAAATAACTGATCTGTGCTGTCCTACTTTTCTGGTACCCTTCTGTTGGCGTGCCTAGCATACAGATGTGGCCCTAAAGGATGGAGTCAGACATACTGCAGTCCTTTGATTGGTCAAAGAATCTTCACTTCCTGCGCGACAGCGGTAATTAAGGATAAACACAAATCACACCATGTTTAAATATCCTGCGGGTTGTGAGGGAGTCATTTCAAGGCAGGTTTTTCTTTTGTTGTGATCTTCCCTCCTATTGGACGCACAGAGGTGATGTCACAGGGTGCAGATACGCTCTTGTGCGGGGCAACACATAGACAATGAACTGGTTTGACAGCGCTGTGCAGCGCCCACTGATCCTATCTGAGAGGCCCTTAAGCCTCAGTTGCAATTAGTTTAGATTTTTTGACCTACCGGTATTCTTTTTTTATTTCTTCTTTGTATAGTTGTCTTGTTTGAGGTTATTCTTATCAGAACATATCGGGCTGTTAAGACAAATGTAATTGTTGCAGACTCGATCTTGGACTTTCTTCAGAGCTGAGGTGAGTATTTTGAAGTAGCCAATGAAATTCTCTGTCATGTTACAAAAAGATTTCCTTTAGTGTAGCATTAAGACTCACACACATACTGAGTGGAGGATTTGTATACCGTCACACTGTCACCTAACAGCCACAGGTGATTTATGATCCTTGAAAGAGGCCTGACGTCCAGGTGTGCAGATGCAATGATAAGTGCCCAGCCTTTAATAACATGAACCAGCTGACTGACTTAGTCGCTGGATTAAATTAGCCACTCACTCAAGTGGCTCCAGAATAGAAGTCTTTTGTGACAACCAGAGCCGTCCCCGTTCCTCTCACACGTATCTCTGCTCGTGATAATAGCTCTGACCCTCAGTGTGAGAGGAATTAATCAAAACGACTTTTTCCAAAGTTAATGGATGTAAAGAGAGCAAGGGGGGGGGGGGTGTTGCCATGCGTTCTCTACGTCCTCTAAGCGTGAAAGGTAAGGACGAGCTCAGATACGTAGGGGTGGTGCTCTGGTTTCAGCCCCCCCCCCCCCCCCTCTTCCCAGGATGTATTGCAGCCAAGCCAGAGTGATGACAGAGAGGACAGGGCCATGAGTTAGGAGCTCATCTCATCTGTGTCACCTCATCGCATGAAATATGACAATCAGGTTTTAAGACGCCAGCGAAAAATGTGTTAATGACACAAGTGAGAGAACGGCTCCTCTACCTGCAGGAAAAGTTCCTCAGTAGGGACACGGTTTGTGGAATAAAAAGTGACACAAGATGAGAATACTAACTCATGTTCTGCTTGTCTACCGCAAACCACAGAAGACAGAGAGACATGAGACACCTTCTGACATGTGTCACTCCAAAACAAGCTCACTTAAATCTCTCTTCGTCGAGATAGTCCCTTACATGTCTTCAGACCAAAAGATCATTTACTTGCACAAATGTTGCTGTTTTTCTTTCATCTGGTTAGTTAAACTCGACCCTGGAATTCAGCCTCATTCACTGATATATTTGTCCTTTTCCTCTTATGGTTCAGTGTCAATTAAGACAATAATCCTTTTTAGAAACAGCATCACTGGGACTTCAGAAGATATTCCTTTGGGAGAATTATTTCTGAATGAGGCCAGTTTACTCTTTAAGATATGCTGGAAAACATCACAACATGCATGATTAACTTTCCTGCTTCTTCCAGGTACTTGAGACTGACCTGTGCCTACTTTGGTGACCTGTTAGCTAGGATCAGTACCAGGATTCTCTAATGGACACCAACTTCCTGTGTTCTGTTTTAGCTGTGTAGCTCCTGGGCGTCTGTCTCTGCTGAGTGACAGTTTCATGCTTCAATGGTCAATGTCTGAATTCATGCTTTCTTTCTGGTCTATTTGCAAGACAACAAGCAAACACCTTTAAAAGCCTTGCCTTCCAAACAGAGTTTGTTACGGATGCAATCTCCAGACTTCCTGAGAATCTTCACACTGATAGATTCAGAGCGCAGTGCTCTCTGAGTTTGTGCAGCCCAACATTTTTTTGCTTCACTTTTGGTCTTAAAACATTTTTTTTTTTTTAAATCACAACATATGAATACAAATGTGTTTGGAGTGCCACAGTAAAGAAGGTCATGTAAGAGCACTGCAACCCACGGGCTCAGCCAAGCCAGCTGTACCCAGCCACCATGAAGCCCAGTGGTACCTGTGACGACGATCTTGGGAACGTCCAGAATGGTGCCGTATGATGCTGTTTTACGGTGGCCTCGTTTAAACACGGGATTTGCTGCAAAAACACACACATACACACTCACACGAACAGCTGCGGACACAACAAGCATGCAGACTGGAGGCAGACTGCAGGCCCACAGCCGCTCTGGAACTGTGAGCTACGGACATGCAGAGCATACATGGTACGTGCAAGGGCAGCATGCACCACATCCATTGAAGACGCTGCAGAGAAGTGCTGTGAACACTGCCGGCAGCCGCTGCACTATTTTCTCTTTGCACAAACAGCAGCAGACATTCAGCTCCAACGCTGCTCAGAAGTTTACTGGACGATGTGGGGAAGCATAAATAACAGTTTATTCTCTGGTTAAACTCTGGTATTTTAAAGCTAGGCCCTTTTTTTATATAGTTTAGAATCTAGATGGCTTATAGGTTCATCAAGAACGATCCGGTAGATTTCTTCAGCCAGCAGAGACTGTGAAGGCTGCAATATCCTCTTTCAGAAAAGCTCCAGATCAAATTAATATCTGCAAAAAAATGCACGTTTTAGTCACTGATAGGCTCAGATTGTTATTCTAAGTGTCTGACAACATTACAGGCACATTACAGGTATCCTTAATAAAAGAGAAGGATGGCTTTTTTTTAAAACCAGAAGCAGCTGCTGAATCGCTCTTTTCAAAGCCACCAGACATCATTGACAAAAACGATGATGTCAAGTTGAAAAACATGGCAGTAGCCGCTCCACTGCTTCCTTGATCGGTTGTATTTTTTGTTATTATGTGTCTTTAGTTATTGAAATGGTTACTTTGGAAGCAAATACAATATTTGATAGCACAGACAAACTAAGCAATCAAGGTAGCAGTAGACCAGCCGCCCCTGTAGAGAAAAGCAAAGCAACATCTGTTTCTGGATTCAAAAAGAGCGTCTCCCTCTATAACTTAAAGGTCTATCTTTGCAGGGATCTGTTCAGTAATTTTGTATAACACTTACAGTAACAACCTGAGCCTGTCAGTGACAAACACAACAACTTATTTTGATCTGGAGCCTTCCCCTGAAAGTTTACATTACAGCTTGTTTTAAAGCTGCCGGCTGAAGCAAATCTATTGGAGCCGTTCCAACAGGACCCAGCTTTAACAGAATAGAAGGGAAGAGAACTGGTTTAAAATCTGAAAACACAGGAACTCAACTAGACTTCAATCAAAACTTAATGTGGAGAGCTTCTTGGATATGATGCCACAGGAGGGGAGACGGCTGACAGCTCAATGTTTGTCATCTTAGTCTACACTTCAAAGTTATCAAAGTACTTGAAAAAAACTATCAGACACTGAAGTCTGGGTAGGAGCTTCTTGTGGACTTGGAAAGGCCTCGTTCCTTGAAGGTAACGCTGCATGCCCTGCTGCCCTGTGCAAATTGTTCTTACATTAAAGAAATTCTAAAAATGGTAGGAGCGTGCCGGTTTGCCTCGACAAGCTCCTCGTCTTCTCTGCTCTCATCTTCCGCGCTGTGTATTTAGTGGTGTTACCTGAAGGTGCAAACGGCATCTTAGGCTCCAGCTCTGAAAGATCAGCACTCATTCTTTTGCTGTCAGATGACGCCAGGCACTGAGTCCGTGAAGGCAGACTCTCAACGCTGCTCCCCCTGGACAGAGGCAGAGTCCTCAGCGGGTCTCCCTGAAACAAAGACGAACACTCTCACTAACGCTGTGACTAATTATTCTTTCTACATTTCTTCTGACGATGAAGAGCAGATTTACCTTCGGCTTGAAGTGAGGAGCAAACTGAGGCGTTATCTTGATGGTGTCATTGCTTCCTTGAGAATCACTGCGCTCCATGTTCACTTCACTTTTGTTGCTCGTGCTGGTGGCGGTGTACTCCACGTATGAACCTGTTTCTCCAAAAAGACGCAGCGTGACAGGTACGTTAATAGATCTCATCATTTATCTACTATGATGATTTTTAATTAAGATTTGATATAATTTGTGTTGCTGTCCTGCTCACTACTCTAACATCAGGTCAAACTCTAAATACTTTGTCCAGTATTCAGGACCATTAAGTAAACTTGACTTTAAACGAGACCTGAAGCCCTGTGCACCAAATGCTGGGTGTGTCTTAAAGAACTGTTTCAAGAAGACTCTTGTACCTGTACTTGTTGCAGAGTTGCTCTGTCCATCATCTGAATACGGGTACGGATACTGCAGGGGTTCATCAGATCCTTTGAAGTACTGCAAGAAGGAGAAAAAGGGAGATTGATGAAGACTTGAAAACACCTTTGTTGTACAGAAAAAACTGACAAAGAAACACTGATACAACTCGGCATCGATAGGATACTGCTCTGGCACATTAAAAAAAAAAAGTTTCCACTTCAACAGATACATTATTCACTTGACAATAATTTCTGAATCAAATCTGCAGCTTTACTTTGGTATTTGCAAATACCCAGTGTTGTATTTTAGGCTTTTTCCAGGATGTTTATGATACTGATATCTTCATCACAGTAATTAAAGTCTCATTAATTTCTCATGCTTAATTTTTATCGTTCAGACACGTATCTTTATCTACTTATCAAGTTCATCTAAATGAGTGAGGGGAGGATAACTTCATGAAAATCTTCAAGGTGTACGATGTCACAGAAAATAAAAACTATAAAAGTTATGACGGGAGAAATCATTTCGGGTCGTTGAGTTAGACTGCATTTATTTCAAAAGGCTAGGCCTAATAAACTCGTCACTGAACGTATTCTTTATGTAACATTCAGAGCCAGTGTACACTGACTGCAGCTTTCCTCCTGGAGACGTCAACCACCTCAGTTTCAGAGTGCTTCTCACAGGCGCTCATTGTTGCTACGTTTACCTCTTTAGAGACAGTGAGGTTTAATTTGCTCTGTACATATATGCTTCATGTTTTCCTTTATTTTGGAGAAAACAATATAAATGAATCATGTCCTGGCATTAGCAGCAACTCTTGATCTGGAATTTTTCCCTCGAAACAAGACTGATCAAATATCAGAAGTCCCGCCCCTTCTTGATTTTGATTGGTTAGTGAGGGAGAAGAGACATTGATGAGCATGCGCTGTTATAAAAGTTGAACTGTTTTCAACTGAGTGCCATGTGCCCAACAAAAAAACCCTCCAAAAAACGCAGATGATGAGGTCGTTATTGCACTGAGGACGCTTGGCACTGAAACAGTGAACAGCATCGGTTTTGTATTGAAAATGCTGCCAGGGCAAAGAAAGCCGTCAATGGACACAGGCCCTAAAGGGGCTCATTTCCTGGAACAATTTGACAGTAAATGATTTGCTCTGTTGTATTTGCTCAAGTTTATTGATTTAGTCACGACAGTGTAATGAAAGCCTTTTCAAGAAGGCGAGTGGAGTGTGTGATAAACAAATTACCTTCATTAGGTGAGTCATGATCTTCACTATCTCCTCCATGGAAGGCCTCTGAGAGGGGTCTTTGGACCAGCAGCGAGTCATCAGACTCTCAATGGGCTTGGGCAAATTTTTGATTAGAGGAGGTCTTGTCCCTGAACGTACAAAGACAAAAAAAGAGGGTAATAGCTCGCACGGAGACGGGGAACAAATAACTTTCACATCACACCAGACAAGCAGAGAAATGGAGTCCATTTATGCTGAATCCCCCGTCTCCTGCTCGGCGAGATAGTGATGACTAAGGCAGGAGAAAAACATGAAACTTGTCCTGTAGTGGTTTAAGCGTCCCATTAGTATTGTCCTCCATCCATCTCTGGGATGAATTAAACTGCAGGGAGCGCTGCACAGGTGAAGACACCTTAAAGCTGCTCTCTCCTGCCAGACTCTAGAAGAGGAACTGTTACTCTTAATCAAGAGCCCTAATGTGACATGTTTATGGTGTAAATGACTGATTGGTATTTGCAGTAGTTGGCTTCATCCAGCAGCCATTACACAGGCTGTATTGGCTGCAATAAAATCAATGAGGGCACGTGCTCTTGATTAAAGTGTGAGCACTAGAGCCGTGGATAGTCTAGTGGTTAGTGTGCACGCCCCAAGTACAGAGGCTGAAGTCCTCAAAGCGGACAGCCAGGGTTCAATTCCAACCTGTGGCTCCATTCCCAAGTCATTACCCTAACTCTAGCTTCTCCTGAATTCTGATTCTGTCCAGACAAAAAATATTAAAAAAATAAAATAAAATGACCACTAAAAGTTGTTTTAGTCAGAGACAGACTCAGATTGTTATTCTAAGTGTCTGACAACATTTCAGAAAGGATCCCTGCAGAGCGAGAGAGCTATTTGTTACAGAAGATGATGAAACATCCATTACATCACTGTTGTCAAGGCCACAAGACTTTCTGGAGAAATCAGCTTGAGTGAAGCTTTAGATATATTTCACATTTAGAGGAGACTTACACTGATTTTACTGTAAAGCGGGCCTGTTTTGGATCGATAAATGTTTTCTGCTGCTGCTAAAGACAAAGTGATAGAAAGATAGATAGACAGATACTTTTTTGATCCCGAGGGGAAATTTGAGTCCTTAACTGAACACTGTTAAAATTCTAAACGTTGAATTGACATATGAATACAGCATTCAGATTGAAAACTGAATTTTAGTGAGTTAAGCCTTGTTTGAGATGTTTCAAATAACTTCGGCTAAAATATATATTTTTTAAATCGAGCCACCAGACAAAACACATAATTTCACCAAACTTACAGATTGAAGTGGCAGCGGCTCAGCGGCTCCCTAGTTTTGTCTGATAAAGTAGTTGTTTTATTGAGAGTGTGATAAGAGCTGTTTGTGGTCATACACCAATCTCTCTGCATTTCTGTAATATTGTCGGACACTCGTTGACAGAATTACAATCACAGACTGTTTGTGACAAGAACAAGAACATTGAGTCGACAGACTTTGATCGGGTGTAATTGCTTGAAAGGATTATGCAGCATTCATTTTACAGACGCTGGCTGAAGCACTCGACTGCAATTCCGAAATCTTTGATATCTATAATTGAATAAAAAAACCTGAATATGTATGAAAAGAAGGTCCAGGTTTAAAACTACTGGAATCAATCTTTTAACTTTGTACAGTCTCCCAGCATTTCTTGCAGGGCTGGCACTTCTGAGGACTCAGTGACTGAAAGTTTGACATGGCATTTGCAACCTGCAGCTCCCCCACACCCCCCACACCCCACACACAGACACACCCCACACACACAGACACACCCCCCACACACAGACACACCCCCCACACACAGACACACCCCACACACAGACACACACCCCCACACACACAGACACACCCCCACACCCCCCCACACACACACAGACACACCCCCCACACACAGACACACCCCCACACCCCCCCACACACACAGACACACCCCCACACCCCCCACACACAGACACACCCCACACACAGACACACACCCCACACACACAGACACACCCCCACACCCCCCCCACACACACACACACACCCCCACACACAGACACACCCCACACCCCACACCCCCCCACACACACACACCCCCCCCCACACACACACCCCCCCCCCCACACACACACACACACACACACACACACACACACACACACACACACACACACACACACACACACACACACACACACACACACACACACACACACACACACACACACACACACACACACACACACACACACGGTGACTCACCGTTGTGCACAGCCCACATGATGCGGAAAGCTGGTCCTCCAATTTCATCAAAGGGCTTCCTGCGAGTGATCACCTCCCAGAGAATGATCCCCCAGCTGAACACATCACACTTCTCACTGTAATTGCTGCCTGTGAGTTAAAGAAGAACACACACAGCAACATTTAGGACCTTTTTAAACGGGGAAAACGCTCACTTTGACATCGCTGACTGACTGAGAAAGTGAATTCTCTGTGGCACATTTGAGATGAGTGCCTGGGAAAGCACAGCAACATTTATCTCATCCTCCCATTCACAGGAGGATGGAGGATGAAAATAAGGGAGCAATTTTGATCAAGAAATAGCTCCTTTGTTGCTTGATTAGCCTATTATTGCTGAATTAAAGTGCACATCACACACCTATTAGAATTTGCTGCGCTGAGGAGTTCGGGTAGCATTTCATACTGATGCAAATTAGTTGTGAGGAGTTCACAGAGAGGGCAGAAGTAAGATGTTTAATTGCACTGGAGTCTTGTAAGATGCCTCCAAAAACAAGATAATAACCAGAGCTTAATTCATTTTTCCTCCTGACCCCCTTTGCCAAGAACATGTCTCATCATGTAGAAATACATTAGGCTGAATGAGAACACAAATTCTACACCGTCGTCTCCCGAGGGAAATAAAGCCACCAGCATCACTCCATTCATCTTCCCAACATGGTTTGGGAGACAACCATCTATAACGCAGCATGAGTGAGGCTGCTGATGATGAATCAAGAATTAATGCCTCCATGCTGGGAGCGCTGAGGTGCTATTAACGTAAAATGTGACAAAAACGAAGTTGGCTGTCATAAAAGAGCACACAGAAAACGGCAGAGCTGGATCTCTGTGGGCATTAATAGAATCAAACCGGACAAACATGAAGATTTTTTTTTTAAATTAAAAACCGTCTGACAGAAAGAGGCATCCAAAGCTCTTCAACTACTTAGAATGCCGCTCATACTTGCCTTCGAATACCTCCGGGGCCATCCACGCTGCACTTCCTTTGTTGTTGGTCATGTGGGTCTGAATGTCACATGCTGTTCCAAAGTCGCATATCTTCAGCACGGTGCCGCCTGCCACGAGAAGAAGACTGGAAAAGAGAAAGGAGGAAATAAACCCAGTTAACAGCTGATAAGGATTTTAGATTGTTTGTGCAAAGCTTCATGTACATCAGACAGCTCAACAAGTTTCAAAACATGTTTCGTACTCCTTTACTATCTCTCTTAGGTTGTTTCATCTAAACGTGTAATATGTTGAATTTTTTTACACTAAAATATCTAAATTAATTTAAAATGGACTAAACCTATGTTACATATATTTTTTTAGTCGGGTACGTACGTGACCTCAAATATTTCCTACAGTTATCAAAGCCAGAGAAATGTTACGAGCTATGACAGACACAATATGTTTATCGTTGCCGTGGAAACACTGGGTGTAACGTCAAAGACTGCTGCATAAGGAAGCGTGAGCTGCTACTGAAAGCTGCCGTACTGTTGCTGTATGTGCTGCTGGGATAAAAAGCTTTGTGTAAATTATACTCTGATACATCAGCTCGTCTGTAAACATGTTCTCTTCCTCAGGTCTTTTTCGCTAACACGGTCAAAGCCGTTTTTTTTTTTGGGGGGGGGGTTCATATCTTTTCCGATGTGTCTGTATCTCAGCTGTCTTCTCTAAAAAGGTCAGAAACTGACCTTCTTCTACTGTTAAAGCACGGTTCATAAGAGCCTCATAGAACCCCTCTGCTGACTAACTCTGGGAAGAATCATGAAGCAGAGTGTACTGGGAATAGTTTCCTGTACAATAACCCAGAGTTGACAGTTTGTCACGATGCACGGCCTTGTTGTTCCTAGAAACTCAACAACAGATCTCTAGGAAACGAAGCAGCTGATCATTCCCACGGAGTCCTGCCAGGAGCTTTCTCTCCGCTAACGAAAACAACCCTCAGCAACACCATGTCACCGCGTGTTCAGACTGATAACACAGCGCTGCTTTTCAAGTGTTATGATGGCCCAAGGTTGTCTTATGTTCTTTTGAGATAATGGAAGAAGATCCCCAAAGTCTATTGTGAGTGAGAGGCCAGAACACTGTACAGAGGTTTACAGCACGATGAGAAAACTGTTGTAGTCTTGCAGAGGCTTTTTAGGTCGGCTACATTCAGATACATACAGAGGTCAGATACATGTGGTGCCTTAGAACCTACTACCTTCTCTGGTCCAAACAAATCCAGAGCATTCAGGAGCAGAATCTAAAGTTAGAAGGAGGACATACTGGCTGCTGCATTGTTGCGTGAGAAGCTTCAACATAGCATGTTTCCTTAATGTCTGATGATATAGTAAGGTCATTTTATCATTTAATTCAGTAAATATCTTACATATTGGACCTTTAATTTCCACATTCACATATTCAGACTTGTTTTTGCTGGTTCTCATGGATTTGTTGCTGCTGCAGTGTTTAACCTCTTCACATTTTAAGGATAACATTTCGCTGAGCATGGCAGCAGACTCGGTCATGATTCCTGTTCGTTGGTTATATAAAGCTAACATGACCCATTTTATGTGAATGCGCTACAAGAAGCTCTGGGTAGACCTGTCAGGTGAATAAATAGTTTCACGTTTAACACAGTCTCCTTTGTCAGAGTGACTGCCAGATAAAAAAAAAAGCTACACTGGGTATGTTGAACTTGAATACATAATGTTTTCAGCCACAGCTGCATGACGGCACAATAATAACTTAAAGGAACAGAAGAAAAAGAAACATTCAGAAAGTGAGTAAAAGAATGAAAAATGTCTGATTTAGCATGGAAATACAACAAATTAAATACTCTTGTTGAACTTGTCTAATGAAACACAGGAAAGTTCTTTTTTTAAAGCATTTAAGTGTTTAAAATAAACCAAAATAAATACAGGAAGCTAAAAGGCACTTTGTTGGCACAGTGAAACAGGAGACAAGAGAGTGTGAGGTGAGGAGGAGCATACTTGGGTGGCTTGAGGTCCCTGTGAATGAGAGCCTTTGGTTTCATGCCATGGAGATAGGCCACGCCCTGGGAACACTGAAAACACCAGCTCATGGCATGGGAGGCAGTGTAATAGGGGAGGGGTTCAGCACCATGCAGCACTGTGGACAAGAGAGCACAGTCACAACCACCAGCACAGACAATAAACTCCCACAGGAACCGGGGAAGTCACACAAACACGTACACATTCACAGGGCTGACGACGTCGCTCTTACAGCTCCTTTGACAAGGTCACTCCAGGAGGACAGGCTGAGGACTCACCGTTCAGTAACCACACTCACAACTCCACTGAATGACATCAAAGTTATGGTAGCATATTATAACTCCCAGGGAGAGTCGCTTTGATAGAGATTCAGTAACTGGGGAGGAGAGGTACTCATGAACTGTGCAGCACATCAGAGAACCCCAAAATGTGGGCATCAGCTCCTGGAAAAACTCTGAGCTCCTAACAGAATTCAAACCACAGATGTGTTGGGAAAACACACACAAACACTTATGCACACTTCTTTTTAACCTTCAGATATTCTTTGAGTCTTTGAGAATACTTTTAACTGCATGAGTACCAAAAAACTTCAAATAAAAGCCCAATCCCAATTATAGGCCCAGTCCCTTTAACACGCATGGTGTTGCTGCACGTTTTGAAAATAGTCAAGGTCTCAGTGAGAGGCCTCCATGAATTTAATGTTAATCAGTTTGCGATCAAAGATATATCATCATGGACGTCTTCCTCTCTCCCTCACAGTGCAGCGGGTTGGTAATGATGTGCAATCTTACAAAGTGAGATCAAAGTAGTGATTTGTTATTTCATCTGTTTACAGAAGTCCTCATTTTGTAAACAGTTAAATGTTCGTTCTGGTGGGAATTTCCAATTTTGTAGTCTTTCCCGTCATTGCTGTGCAAACGTTTTGGTTGCAAAGAATTAAAGGCTGTCTCATTTTGATGCCTGTCCAAAATAAGGGGTAATTTTATAGACTCGAGGAAATAAAAGCCTCAATGAATTTTTACAGTAGATATTCAAATATTGATGATTCATTACAGTTCACCTCTACTCGGGTCATGTTCTGTTAGTATAAAACTGATATGTGGGATCACAGCCACGTCACTAAGATATTTATGTTCAATGTGGCTGAACTCACAAGCTTACAAACGATCACAGAGGTTTGTCGAAATCTAAAATCAGTTTATCTAAAGAGTCATTTTGATATTTTCAAACCTGCTCAGTGATATGTTTTCAACATAATTGAGGGTCAAAATGACTTGTACATAAAAAAAAAGGTTTTGGAGGTTGTCCCAGTAGATTTATTCAGTGAGGAAAGCAGACCTGACTGTAAAAAGTGTCTGACTAAATCTCATAAACTGTTCCTGCCGATACAGATCATTGTTTTTTTTAAGAATATGACATGAAATAGTTATACATGAAACATCTTCCTTTAGAAAGATACCAGACTCTATTAACTGAAAGTGAGTTTGTTTAGCTGAAAACAGGAGATGCTGGTCTACCTCTGCCTCAGTTGGTTAGTATTTGTATCCTACTCACACTTGCAAAAAACTCCTGAAACTTCTGGGGTGAGCTGCATGTGTAAACGTGAACAGCCTGAATTTTTCACTTGGACTTTATGTTGGTTTCCATCTGCCAGCCCCCTAGTATATTTTCCCCACGCAGTACTATAACACACACTACGTTTTCCACCTCCACAACCACAGACTGTCTGCACGCGACCGCTGTGATCTCTCTGCGCGTCTTTAATCTGCTGCATTATGTTTTCTGTTCATCAGTATGTTCGTCTCTGCTCTCTTTCGTTGATAATCTGATTCTGTCAAACTCCAGGTAGCATTGATATGAATATTATCATTATAGCGTCTTATAGTGCCCACTGTTGCATCATCTGCTACTTCCCTGTCATCCTTTTAACGTCATGTTATGCCGTCCCCCTCTCCTGTACAACAGGGATAGTCTCCCGCTGTGAGGTGAATGTGTGGACAACCAGATCAGGAGGATTTCAGGGCTAGTGCTCCTCAAATTCTCTAGAAATTTTCAGGAGTGCATGTGTGAATATGGTTTTGGCGTGTTGCACGAATAGGTTGGATCCTAACTATTCATTTAATATAATAAACAAACTTACCAACAGCAGTAGATCAGCAACTCTCATGTTCATTCAGCTAAAAGTCATGTGTTCCTCAATAGAGTCTGGCTCTTTTAAAAAGTGATAGAAAGATCTGTTTCTGGTTAAAAAAGCATCTTTCTCTTTCTTAAAAAAATGTCATTTCTGTTCTGTTGTCAGACACTTGGAACAGTCAGAATTGCATACATCACAGGCTTTAACAGCTGCAGACTGAAGACATCTAATGTCTCACACTTAGAGAACTTATGAACCAATCAGCCATTTAGACCCACAATCAGGACGACAGGGCCCGAGTGAAGAATCACCAGATTACTCTTTAAGATCTCACTTTTCAAAGTTAACCACTGGATCATCTGACTCATCCAATTTCCTTTCCCTTTGATATTTTTGTGAAGCAACATTGCTCCATCCTTTCAATAAAACAACTGATTTACAGGCTGCACTGGCAACAAGTCATTTTAGACTTCAGAAAAACAAGAACCTAATTGGGATTAAAAGAAATATTCTTCCCTGGAAACACCAAAGTGCTGACTCTATTTAGAGATCTGTGAGTAATGCCTTTGTATTATTTTGCAGTAAGCCTAAGTGGTTCTTATTCATTAAGACACGTCTATCTTTCAGCAGTGTATCCCCGACTCACTGAGGATAAGGTGACAGTCTTTGGGTCAAGTTCCAGGATGCTGGCTCATATACTGTGTTTCTTAAAAGTCATTAAAGTAGTACTTCATTTTGATGGCTGTACACCTCCCTAATCCCAGGGCTCATTCTGGATATCAAATTAAGGGACTAATAAGGCTGTGGTGTCTGTTACTGAGCAAAGACTATCACAGAAAGGAACTGGACAAGTGACTGAACATGCAAACAGTGGGAGGGTCAACTGAACAGGACGGCTTCTCGTGTCTGTGCAAGGCTGTGTCCATTTCACTGAGAGCAAAGTGGAACAAAAAAAGAAACGTCAAGTTTTCTACACTCACCGTTGTACAATGACCCCCCTTCAGCATATTCCATCACAAGGCAGACCTGAGTGGGAAAGAAGATCACATGAAACTCACCAGACAAAACCAACATGCAAGACTAACTGAAGACATCATTACGGTTGACTTTGTGTGATTAAAGGGAATACTAGTGTTTCTAAACTCTATTAAATAGGTTTAAAATGTTCCAAAAGGTCTCCAGTGGATGGCCTCGTCTTTAAATGCAAATCAACAAACGTACAATCCAGAATAGAAGTCGCAAAGAAAAATACATGATTTTGACCTGTTTAAAGAGAAAATCAGTTCAGGAGTGGCGCTGGTCTGCGTTGATTTGTACCTCAGCACACTTTGCCAGCTAAGCTAACTCCTGCAATACACAGTGACAGTGGGCAGTTTCAATCGTGTCAGATCGTGTGCAGTGGGTGATGGTTGCAGCTGCACTGGTATTCATAGTGCATAGATAGATCATTGTGCTATAAAAAATACCTCTCTCTGTATTTTATAACTGTATATTGAACCGGTGTAGGATGCAGGTCACTTCTTCATTGAAAAGAACGTTTTTAAAAAGTGAATCTCACACACCAAATGTTAACACTACATCCTGGGAGACTGAACAGCATCCACACAAAGTTCTTGTTTTTTACAGCAGTGAGTGCAGTTTTTTTTTTTTAAGTGTCAGACAACTTAACAAAAAGACTTCACACATGTAGAGCGTTTTAAACCCAGAGAGAGTCAGCACACTGTTCTCTTCAAAGCAACAAAGTCGTATTCAACATACAAGTGAGTTTGAGGTTAACTGCACCGCCATCATTTAGTGTTCTTATTGAAGTAGGTTTAAACAAACGTGTGCAGCTTAGCTGACTTTAAGTTTGGTAATTAATGTAAACCATGTTTCAGTCTTTAATTTCCTGTGAGGTTGAGGCGGTAGGATTAAACCAAAGTAATATCACATCAGTCATTTTAGCTCGCAAAAGACCAAAAAGAAGACTGACTAGATCAATTTCTTTGGTTGTGAGATTGTTTGAGTTTTGTTTTTTTATTGGCCGGATTCAACACAATGACAACATCAAACGGACTGATCAGTGGTAAACCAGCAGTTCCTGTTTTTCTGTGCAATAAAATTACTGTTTTTGTCTAATGGCGAATGAAGAAAGCACTGTAAACGGTAACAAACAAAGAATCGTACTCTTTAACCTAAGGTCAATCTTCTGTATGGAACCAATTTGTTACATTGTCAGACACTAAGAATGAAAAAAAACAGGCATTTTATGTTGAAATACTAAATTGCTGCACCCGCTACAGCCCCCTCAGTGGCTAGAAAGTGTAAAATCTAAAAGTCATCTACACACCAGAACCGGTAAAAAAAAACCCAGGTATGACATTTACAATCAAATTGTGACTTACCGGATTGTGACAAGAGCCGTACAACTTCACAATGTTGGGGTGATTGACTCGTGAAAGCTGCCGGAGCTGCAGACAAAGAGGAAACATTTCACTCAATTCCATCTACACGCCTGCAGTTCAACACCTCAGGTACACAAATATCTGTCACCATGTCCGTCACTATAAAGCCCCCTGCCCTGCTATTTCAAGACACAAACAAACTGTCTTACAAGACCATGGCTAAGTTACAAAAACTCTTCCATCCATACCTCAACTATGAAGGCTTTCCTCTCCGACTCACTCTCGATGGTCTTGATCGCCACATCTTTGCCTTTCCATTTGGCTTTGCAAACAACCCCGAAGGCTCCTCTCCCCACCACCTGAAGACAGAAAGTAAACATTAGTTTAGCTCATCTCACAAATATCTGCACGTTCATGGACTACAACACAAAGAGTTCCACAGCCCACCTCTTCAACTTCAATATCCTCATAGTTGATTTCTTCAAATGGATATCCAGGTGGTGTTTCGAGTATATCGGCGGGTGGTAACGACAGAGACATTACTAGCCAACGTCAGCTAGTAGTTTACTGAAAAGAGATCATACAGAAGAATAAAATAAAAATGCTGATGTCTAATTACAGGTAAGGTTGTCATTTTCTGATTGTTTCATGGTGGTAATGCTCAATAGATCTTATAAAAATGTCTACACCTCAACACAATAGCCCAAAAAGTTCATATCCAACTATAGGGCCTGTGTCCACCTAGTGATTTTTCCGGGCAGAAAAACACTGGCTGTGCGCTCAGGAGAACTAAAGACTTGAGAAGAGAAGCCTGACCTGTCTCTATGACAACAATCTCTTGACAAAGGCCACTGTATGACCGACACGGCTGTGTTACTTTTTACTGCATGTTTTTCTTTTAGACCATTTATTTTACCAATCAGCAAAGAGGATTTGGGTACAAGACACGATCTGTAGGCAGCAAAACTACAGGGAAAATCATACATTAGGAAAAGAGCACTCGATCCAGGCGACCGCTTTCTTCTGTGAACGCTCTCTTCTCATTGAAAAGAACTGAAAGAGGACGCTGGCACTAAAAAAAAAAACGCTAGGTGGACACAGGGCCTTAGTCACGCTGTACATCTCTCCGCTCTGCTGTCTGTCACACCTGCAGCTCTTACACAACAACTGTGTTCAAATTCACTGGTTGGCAAATGCCCACATTTGTCAAGTCTTTGAGGCACAAATCATGTTTTTTTTCTGCGGCTGACAGACAGACAGACAGACACACAGACAGACACACAGACAGCAGAGGAGAGAGACAGCAGCTTCACCTGGTCCCTTTATGTTTTCTACGAGTTCTGATCTGTGTAATACGAACAAGGAGCTTAACGCCACTGAACCCAAATGACACCAATAAAGTGTATGAACACTAAGAAGAATGCTGAGATTTACAAAATAAGTAATGAGAAATTGTGACCTAATTGATTTTCTCTAACATTAAGATGACTTTAATTGATAGTTTCAGTTAAATTTGATGTGATTTGTGAAAATGTAAATATCTGATTCAGTTAATTATTAAGAAAGGGGGCAGGCTCCTGCTCCTGTTTGTTTATGGACAGTGTGTATGTATGATGTGTTGCTGTGTTGAAAATCATTCACTGAAACAAGTAAATACACCAAATACACATGACTGAAGGTTTAAACCTGCAGACACAACAAACCAGACAAACTGAGCTCAAAGCAGCTAGTCGAGTCATTTGTCATAATAACATCTTAATGATTCAATAAACTCGAAGTTTAGGAGCATGCTGAAGTAATTATGTATGTAACATATAGTTAGTCAGTCTATCGTGAGCTGTCAAACAAGATATAAAGTCTTAACTTTATCTTCTCTTCAGTCTTCTGTCAGTGTGATGAACTCTGCCAGCTGGCTAACAGAGAAGCTAACTGCTAACTCAGAGTGATAAAAGTTGACTTTCCGGTTATGTTAAACTCCCCTACATGCATAAAGTATCCACAAACCAGCACTAAAGATGATTAAACACTACCATTACGTTACCATAAGCACAGGTATTGACAATCTACAAAAGGCCTTTCAGTGTTTTTTCCAGCTAGCTTTCGTTAGCTGGCCTGGATGCTAACGCTAGCTACCGTTAGCTTCAACAATCCAACCCTTCTTGTTGACTTCCGGCTCCGGCTCTCTGGGGGAGTTTCCTTCTACTCATGGACGGACAGACGTGGAGTAACATCCATGCTTTAAAAACAGTCTTTCTACATCAACTTGACAGCCAGACATAACTTTTTCTGAACTCGTCTAGCTGACTTGCTGGGAGTGTATTTTTATTCTCCGCAGCAGCAGCTCCATCAGGAAGTGTGTGCGCACTGCTAAACTGTCCGGACTGAACACGGAACCTTTATTCTGACGTTTGGAAAAATATAAAACATTTATCATCATGACCTCTTGGGGTGGAAATAATGTCGACTACCTGACACCGTACACTACGGATCCCCAAAGGGACCATAACATCTTGTGGGAACAAGTTATTATCAAGTTATTAACCTTCATTGTCTTGTTAGATTAACACTTGTGCATACAAGTTATTATCTTCTTGAAACAATTTAATATTCAAGTTATTATCATGTGGATATTTAAATTATTACTTGTGAACGCAAGTTATTATCTGCTGCGCACAACACAATTAGGCAATTGTGCAAAATACTGTTATTGCACAGTTATTAAATATATTGTATGCACAATATATATATATATATATATATATATATATATATATATATATAACTTTTTGGGATTCAGGGGCTGCCCACAGGATAATAACGTCTTAGCACAAGTTATTTTCTGGTACGCACAACATAATTATCCATAAGCAAACATGTTAGATGATAACTTGTGCATTATGGGTAATATTGCACACACGTACAATTAGTTTTTCACTTTTAGGGATTTCAGGGGCTGCTCACAAGATAATTACTTCTGCAAACTAATTATAGTGTGCACCCAATGTATTATTAAGGTTTTATATATTCTTGTAGACACAATATATAATGCCCACAAGTTATCTGGTGCACACAACATAATTATCTTGTACGTTAGACGATACCTTGTGAGCTAAAGATAATTATATGGTGCACTCGAGATAAAAAGTCCTTAAAAGTGAACATTTTAAATAATGCCTTAAAAATGTTCCCCTTTATGACTTCAGGGGTGCTGTAGTATACTTTTTGGTTAAAGTGACATTAAAAGTGTCAACTGTAGGCCTGCAGGTGAACAACAGTCAGCAGACTAACTGCTTTGTCACATCATTTAAATTATTTTCAGTTTAGTGTTTTCTTATTTGTTCTACATCTTACAGTTGTTGTTTGAGTGTTTTAAGTTGGTCCTGATGTCTTCTAATTACATTCATTTGTAACGGATTATTTGATTATTTTGTTTATGAAACTTGTAAAGTTGGTTTTGAGAGGTGCTATTGTTCTAAAGTCTGAAGCAGAGCTGCATCAGGATATTTCTTTACTCTGTTTTTTGTGTTCCTGAGTCATTTCTGTTTGTTTTCTAAGATCTGGACTTCATACGTTTTTAACTTGAAATAACAAAGCAGCATTTCCTGTGATGATGAGACAATTTCTCGAGAAAACGACCAAAATCAACTCAGAAAATTAGTGTTTTTTCCCCCCTAAATAACGAGATAAATAAGTCAAAATTATTAGGAGTAAACAGAGTAAAATACAATTTAGGGACACGTGCCCGCTTAGTGCCTCCCTATACATTTTATCCATGTTTTATTAACTGTTCTTTTTCTCTCCATACATTTGTATTAATATCTTAAAGCATATATGACTTACAATAGTAGTATCATGCACCCCCCCCCCCCATCCCCCCTCCCCACATACACCTTGCCATCTCACAACCACCCACCCTGAACATTCCTTTTAACAGTTGTTCTGAAGTGTTGATTTTTGTTCCTTATTTCTGAAAATTCAATAAAACCATTCAATTACAGACATTTCAAAGGACTATTTACTCGTTACCTGACGTGAAACAGCCGACCGGTCTTTGAAAGTTAAAGTGATCCAGAAGAATAGTTCTCCTGGGCTGGAGTCCTTTTTAATAAATTTAAAATCTGCAGACTTTGTTGTTTACATTCAGGCACACGGTGCATGCTTGCACGCTGCAGTACGTTTACATGCACATTTGAGTCGAGCTACAGTTGGCTCGATTAGGCAATTAAATTGGACTTCTGTCTTTATCCCATCGTACAAGCACCGGGGGAGAGTCGGTTTATTGATGGAAGTAGGCCACAGTGGGTGGAGCTTTGCTCCCTTTCAGCTCGTTATCAGACCTTCTTCTGACATCACATACCAAACATCTTTATGCAGAATGTTTTCAGCACATTGTTTCACTTTCAGTGGCTCTCATATAGTCTTGGCAATTTTTTAAAGATTTACTTTGGGGCTTTTACCTTTATTTAGATAGTGATAGAGTAGAAAATCAGGGAGAGAGAGAGAGAGTGGAGCCGCATGCAGGAAGGGAGCCTAAGGTTGGACTTAAACCCGCTTGGAGAACTTTAAAATCTGTACATCCGGCGTGACCTTACCACTGGGCCATCAGCCCCCCAGTTTTGGCAGATTTTTATTTTGGAAAAAAGTTATTTCAAAGCAATTTGTTTTGTAAGAAAAACCACCTAACTCACAAATCATCCCCTCATGTAGGTACTTTAGCACTTGGTTTGAGAAAATGTGTTTCTGCAAAATTGTAGGGATTTATTTTAATTCTTAAAAAAGTCCTAACTGCATGATCGAACTCTGCAACTTTGCACATCATTGGCCTCCTCTTGGCAGAACCACTTTTAATGGTAAAAAATATACATCAACTTGACTTATGAAATACATCTTGTTGCTTTTTGGAATATTCTCATTTTTTTCTTTCATGAACTTTGAGTTAAGAGGACGTTCTGCTGACCTCTGATGTGTCGATTTAGCCTCGCATGCAAGACCCTCCTTGATCAGGCGAGTAACACTTATGTAATGTCAAAATGGAATTTGTGAGGAGGGATGTTATATAAACACTACACTTGATGAATGCTAATTACATGCTCCACTCGTAGGGAGTAATAAAGCAAGTTCCCAGTGGAGGCTTTCCAAACCACTAAGCAAGCACAACTCATACTAATGAGCATGAACTAATTTGTTGTGATATTGAACAGAGGGTTGTTAATAGCTGGAGCCATCCCTCTCCCCTCAAATAATTATTCTAATCGCTCATTTCAAAGGTGATTAAAACGCTCTCACCTGGCTGTTTATTTGGGACTACAGGCATCGGCATATGTTCTGGGACCCGCGGCCATCACTAAGTTTTGTTTGCCCTCTTGCAAGATGCAAGATGCAAGAAATCTTTGAAGAGTCAGACCTGCTGAACCACTCGCCTTCTGGACAGAGGAGCGCTCAGATATAGCAGACATTGTACCTACATCATCTTCCAGCAGTGAAGGAAGTGATGATGACGAGCAATACTCTGAGATATCCGGTGACATTTACCAGCCAGGGATAAAGCTAGGAATGATTTCAAGGAAGACAAAAGCTGTCAACAGGGAAATGCATTTAGGAAATATGGGATGCTATGCTCTGGCAGGGGCGTCACCAGGACTTCTGGGCCCCTCCACCACAGTCTCAGCCAACCCTGCAATATCTCTATAAACACACCTCCATTACTCTGATGACTCAATACAAGTTTTAAATTAAAGGTGCACTATGGAGTTTTGGTGGTAAAATTTGAAAGTTGGAGAAGTGAAACAATTCTGTGCTATATTTTCTGAACTAAATACACAAACTTTACTCAAAGAAAAAATGGATAACTGGAACACTGTTTAGAACTTTGAACTAACAGGAGGGTTACATTTCTCTGTTGCAGGCTGTTTTTATCTTCAAACTGTGTTACAGGGAACAAATTTCCCTCTGAGGACAGTTTGTTTCAGAGTTATGAACATATACCACAGTATCTGTACACTTCTCCAACTTTCAAATTTCCCTACCAAAACTACAAAGTGCAAAATGTTCTTCTTTCCATAGTTTTTGGCACACACACTAAAAAGATACAATCTATTTTATCTGAATGACAGACGCAATGGAAAGCAGTGGCTGCTGGTGCAGTAGACTGTTCTTCAGGGGGGCAACAATTCTGACACATGGACCAGGATGTAGTTTGTTAGCTTGACGCTATCATACATGGGAAATACTATAAGCTGGCTAACAGAATTAGCACCTCAAAAATACCATCTATTTTATTTCTACATATTTAACAAACACGACCCTATGCACTCGTACTCACAGAAATGTTTCCTAAACTGTGTTTAAAATACACACAAATAACAGAGATGATCATAATGTACATAATGATCTGTGCAGAAAACTCAGAGAGCTTTTTTGAAGCCTCACAGAAGTCATGTGAAAACAAAGCAAAAAACAAAAAAACAGAGAAAGTAACACATTCAAACAGTACTTATAATTTAGACTATAACGTGGGGCGCCGGATAAACTAGTGGTTTTGGTGTGTGCCCCATGTATGGAGGCTCTAGTCTTCATCACAGCGGCACCTCTCTCTCTCTTCACCTGTCTTATCTGATAAAGGCAAGAATGCCCCACTCTGACATTTATATATAAAAAAACGTTGAAGACCCATTTGAATAGACTTGTCTTTGTTTGTTCTGTCTGTGTCTGTTATTATATAATTATCTGTATTTCATGTATTTTAAAAAATATTTTATTTTGAAGTACTTTGTGGTGTCTGCTCTTGAAAGGTGAAATATAAAAAAAAACTTACCCACATACTTACTAGATATCACACTTTCACTCTAAATATATGACATTATAACGTTTCAATATTTTCAATTAGTTTTATTTTAATATGCAAAATAAAAAAGGATTGATCTTGATGTATGGCCTGTGTTACGTCCTGATTGGACTGTGTTTTGTTTTGCTCTCCCTCACCATGTCTGTGCTGTAGATCTGCCACACCCTCCTGCTCCACATTGCCACACCTCTGAGAGCTCTCCCATCACCTCCTGAAGCTGATCGGCCAATCAGAGGAGCTGGAATTAAATACCTCCGACCGTTTTTCATCCTCGTTTGTTTTGATTTCGAGGCGCACGTGAAGTGACATTTTACATTTTGCACAGCATTGTTGGTGTTAAAATACAATTAATTTCCTGAAAGGATGATTCCAAACCATGCTGCACAAAACCTGGAAGTTAGCATCCATGCTGAAATGTTCATTCTACTGAGTTGGACCCAAAAAAAAGCCCACTGAATGACCACGAGGGTTCAGTCTACTGAAAGGAAAGGGCCTCTGTGCTTCTGGTCTCTCATTCTACCC